TTCAATTTATTCTTGGAACTTAAGCCTCACATACTTTTACTTTATTTTCCGTTATGATATGCCAGGAATATTAGATATAGAACAAATATTATACCTTCCCTCAGCAAACTTTGCCGAGAAATGAAGATATTTTAAGGAATCAAGAAAAAATTTATGCCGATTTTTCTTTCGTCAGAAAATCGCATATTTTCACCAATATTTCAAATTTTACATCATTGACCCCGACTTTTTCTTTCGTTATTTTAAACTAGTTGATATTTGTGACTGATCAGGAGTAAACTATTTAAAAGTTTGATACCAAAAAATATTTTATTGCCTATTTGGATTTTTAATACCCCATGTATGTTACTTTTTTAGTGCAAAAAGGTCACACAATAATTTACGCAGATTTATTTGCAATATTACTTCAATAATGAATAATTTAATTTCAGTTGTAACACGTCATTTGATTGGATAAACAATTTTATCCATTTTGTACAGCATAACTTGCCTACGTCACAATGAGTTACGTCAACAAACGTATTACTCCGCTTGACGTTAACTTTTAAAATATGCGATATTTGAAGCCATTTTCCGAAGGAAAAAATGGAAAAATTGTCTCACTGTCTACATTGAAATTAAATTATAAGGAATGAAGCTTATTTCAACTTATATTATACGATATACATGTAACATAACTTGGGGCAGTTTACGCTTTTTTATAAACTGCTTCGCGGTTTATAAAGCGTAAACTGCCCCAAGTTACGTTATATCGTATAACATAAGTTGAAATAAGCTCTATTTCTTAAATATTATTCAAACTATTTTAGGTAAAATAAGGTTATAAATATAGCCATTGTTACATCAGATAGAGTAAGACAAAAATTAAAGTGATTGATAGAGTTAAAATTTAAGTGCAAAAAGGTCAGCTTAATTGTACCGTAGCTAAGTAGGATGCACACTGACCCCCTATTTTCTCTGCGATTTTGAGTCATACTATATTAGTACTTATCCAAAATATACTTCTTAAAAATCCTTGATATAACAAAGGATGACCGAACTTAACGCTGTGTTTTTGGATCTTTTTCGGTCGCTTCTGTTGCTTTTAAATCTTAACCTAATTTCATTTTTACATATTTACTACAGAGGTCTGTCAATTAGACACCCAATTTGAATCTTAAAAATAATTTTAGACTGTAATACAATTATTAATTTCATGTTTTTTGTCCTTACGGTTTTCCAAAAACAGATCATTTACGCTTACTTGCACTTGATTGAACATTATGTAAACTAACATCGTAAGAATGAATCTAAAATTAGACTGGATGACTAACAATGACATGTATTAAAAATACTAGATCTCTATTTCATATCTTCCTATTTATTTTGTATGGCGCTAGCATGTTATTTATGAAGGTTTAAAACACATGAGCTCTTTTACTTGCTTATTTTGTTCATGAATATCTATACATGAAAAGGAAGTAGAGCAAGTCATTTTGTACCGGTAGAGATCATTGCGCCATGTGACTAGGTCACGTATTGACCTCTGACCTCTGACAAACTTCATACAGAATTGAAGATATTTGTTCTCTGTATGTTTATATAATGGAGAGATACCACAAATGTATATATATATAATTAATAAATTTATTGGTTTTACTTTGTAGGACATTGCATTAGTTTCACATTAAGTTTAGCGGAATTAAGTTGAAAACTTTTTTCAATAAAAAAAAACTACATGTATAAAGCCCGAGAGCTTCTCCGCTTTCTCCCCCTTGGTTTCCAACCATATACCGTCCCCCTTCCTTGTTCAAGATTTCCATATCCGCCACTGATATGTGCCCACGCATGCTTACTAAGGCATATTCAATTTATTTAGATGAGGAACTGATAATTTTTTATAATAGAAATTCTGGCCCTGGAATGGTTGAAAAAAATACTAATTCCAGTGACATAGTGCTCATCGTTTTTGAAAGGGTAGGTCAGCCAGAAAAAATTATTTACCCGAAAAAAATTGACAAGCCAAAAAAAAAATTGTTAAAGCCCGAAAATCCTATTTCGGGGAGGGGGGTCCAACTTCGATCAGTCCCAATTTTTTTTCTTTCAGATATACTACATTACCCTTAGTGGACTATACTTCAACAAAAAGTGGGGGTGGGGCTCTACTTTCAGTGAACATTACACTTTCAATTGTCAAGTTATGTTTGGGAAAGAAGGGGGCTGATATTATGTGCCTGTAATTCGTCCTCATCAATCAGCCCCCCCCCTTCTTACCAGTCAGTAAAACACGGTCGTCAACATTCATAATATACTAGATATACAGCTTTGAGATAATGTACATGTATTTTTACATCAGGTAATGAACTTTTGGAATCAACTTGATAAAGAGTTGACACAATATAAAGATATTTTTAAATCACATAAGAAAGAGTTGACATAACGTAATTATATATCCACATTACGGAATGGAGTTTTGACATGATGTAATAAAGTGTTGATACAATATAAAGATATGTTCACAAAATGTTATACACTTTTTAGACCACGTAATAAAGCGCTGACATAAAGGTAAGATGTGTTCACCTCACATCATGATGCTCTCGCCGTAAAGTAAAGATAAATCCAAGGAATGGACTTTTGACTTCATGTTATGATAAGTTTAACTATAAAATACAATTTACTTGACGTAATGCAATTTTGACCTCACTTATTAAAGAAATGAAATGATGTAAAGAAACATTCTTTTCGCATAATAAAGTTTTAACACAATTTAAACAAATTATCACTTCGCATAATGAATTTTTTACTTCAAGTTATGAAGTGCTGACATAAGGAAAGGATGTATTTCCTTCATGTAATGCAGCATTGACATGATGTTAAGATATTTTTTTCATCATCTCATAAAAAATTGACATAACGTAAAGATATGTTCACATCATGTAATGATAAATTTACATTATAAATAAAAAATAGTTGTATACTATAAGGCAGTGATGGCGTTCCATAGGAAATCATAGAGCAGAAGCTTTCCTATCTAACTTTATATATGTTATACATTAGTATCAGATGCAGCTTATGTGTAAAAATCTCAGATAGACAAGCTTGTGCTCCATGTTATCTGAAGAGAAAAGTATCTAGAATATTAGGAAATTCCACCAGAATTAAGGAAATTCGGGAAAATGTCCTACTTCTGCACGCTCTTGTGGCCTCCATGTAAGTTTTGAATCCAATTTACTCGTTTTAAGTGCCCGTTTTTAAAGCACGCATCATCTTTAAGTTCTTAACTAGAAATTATCACAATTATACAAGTGTTTTTATTTTTACCCTACCTTGTCCTTTCATCTTGACTGCGTCCACACGAATGTCCCACGCGAAAACAATGCGAGCCTTCATCTCGACATTTAGATATATCGACGACGTATAGTCAATTAACAAATGTAATTTCAATTCTTATGTCGATACGACATATCCTGGTGAGCTTGAGATAAAAAATACCACACACCTGTTTCATATTTGGTTATCTTACTTGAAAAAGACGTTAATGTAATCTAACAACCAAGCTCTATGATAAACGTGAAGACTTTAACTTTTCAACCGTCAACTTCCCTTACTTATGCAGTAACAAACATTCATCACCTAGATACGGAGATGATATATCTCAGTTGATTCGATACGCAAGAGCATGCTGTACGGATGAACAATTTCTAAAACGAGGTAAATTATTGACAAACAAGCTCATGAAACAAGAATATCAGCAGTCTCGTTTAAAGTCATCATTTCGTAAGTTCTAGGTCCGATACAATGACCTTGTCAGCAAATACAATTTATTATTGAGTCAAATGCTAACTGACGTTTTTCATACTACTTGTTAGTTCATGACAAGGAGCATACAGCGCGTGTGACCGTTCGGCAGGGGATGCTTACTCCTCCATGGCACCTGGTCAGACCTCTGATGTTTTGGAGGTCTTTGTTTGCTCTGCTCCTTCAATGTATTTTGTATTGTTTTATGGATTTTCGATCTTTATTAATGTTCGTTATATCCATATGTTACATATACTAGTATATAATGTCGTTCAAAGATACGGTCTTCGGAAAGTAACAAAATCTACTATCTGATATGTTTTATTTTATTAGTGCTATCTCAATCCTTGTCTTATGCTTTATATTTTATTTGGTAAAATAAAATATTTTAGGAAAAGCCCTGTAACACACGACTTCAACGGTATGTCTTTTATTACAATAATTTCCTTTTAATGTGTTATTCAATGTGACTGATCATGATTTATCTGCAGATTTTTTTCATAACATAAACACCAACTGGACATGCAGAACATGTCTTGCCTCCGATGACCAAAGTGAGGAACGTCTTGCGAATTATGTATTGATTTCTGCTTTATCATGCAGGACAGTTAGATCGGTCCAAGTAGCCCCAAACATTAGATATTCGACTTCATCTGAACTTTCTTGTATGAGGCTTTTTTGATTACGTCAAAATCTCAATGCTTGATTACCGCAGCGAGTCAAATTATGTCTTGAACTTGTGTAAGTAGCTATAATTGCGTGGGTTTTGCACTGGTTACAGGGCATGAGGGTTTTGAAAATATTGTCTTCTTGGCTTCCATTTACAAGAAAAATGAAGCCTATCAATCTGCATGATGACTAATATAGCTCAAATCATTGATGAAATTACGTATTTTTTGTGACCGCGAAAAGTTAAGATCGACATTCTCCATTTGCATAACATGAATTAGTTTTATTTTTAAAGGTATATATTTTAAGTAGACATTTGAGGTATTTAGCAGTACTTCTGTTTGTTTAGATTTCCGTTAATTGTAGTTTTTTTTCTTAAGGAGGCTTGGGGTCAAAAATTAACCTTTAGATATAACTTACTTAAGCTTTTGTAAATATCTTAAGCTGTCAACTTTCATTTGGAAAAGAAAAATTTCATACATTTCAATTTTAGAATTTGATTATTTTTGTATACTTTATATGGAGCTCTAGGAGCTCAACATAGCCTAATATTGTTTTCAAAATTATTTTATCAGAATATATTATTACGCTTATAATATATGGGGGGGGGTGCGTTTTATAGAGATGAACATCCATCTTCTTGGTTACATTTTCAATTTTATTTCTATTGTGTAGACATTATTTTATTTTTTAACAGAAAATTACAAGTAAATCTAAAGCCTTTTGTTATATTTAAAAAGCATGTACATGTTTTACATTGGTGGCGACAACTTGATCTAATATGCTTACATTGGCGATTTTCTTTTTTTTCTTTTTTTCTTTTTTTTTTTTTTTTTTTTTTTTTGAATAGAATATATAATTCAAATGAAATTTTATTATATCAAACGATCAGCGTTTGTAATAAAAGGAAAATGAGGCGCCATTTTCTTTCGGCTCATAACTGTCCATTTCTGCATTTGTGCGATTCACAAAGGCTATGTCATTATCTTCAAATGTTTCCCATTTTAAATGATTCTGTCCTGCTATATTTCCAATTTCTTTTAGGTGTCCGTTAGAGAAACCTCCATTTTGTATATAGGTGTTGTACTGTTTAGAAGGGGGATCGTCGATGAGAACGTCCTGCTCATCCTCTACAGGTTTGTAAAGATATATAGTACGCAGACACAACAGTAGTGGGGCATATAGCACATTACTGAGAAATATGGCAACATTAAGCCAAAGAAACCCGATCGTCTGTACGATCTGACCAGCCATTACGGGACCAAGAGCATAAGCCAGGGAATATGATATGTCGGCAATAGCATAAACACTTCCGTATATTGATACATATCTAAGATCAACAAGGTAGCCTAATGTGGGTAAAATAGCAGTATCAACAAGGGCTACACCTAAACACAGTCCCATTATTGGAAATAGTACCACAAAAAATTGTTTCGCAAACGGAATAGCCAGACAGCATGTCCCTTCGATGATTAGTCCCACGGAAGTGATGAGCCACTGATATTTTGGATAGTTTTTTGCGAGTCTAACCGTTAAGTAAACGCCTCCGATATATGGTAAGAAAGCAGGGAGCCAAACAAATCCTATCTCCCATTCAGATGCCTCCATGGTACCTTGCATCCAAAGGGCGATCGTAGGTTCCAAAAACGCAAGAGACACATTGGACATTGCAAGAGCTCCTGCAGCCACCGCGATGTATGGATCTATCAAAAGCCGATATATTGGGGTTCCTTTTAATCCTTCTTCAGAGAGTTCCCTTTCCTTTCTCATAGGTTTCATTACAAAAAGGAGAAGAATGCCATCTATTAAACACAGACAAGAGAGAAATATAAAAGGAACTACCTTTCCAGCAAACTCAAAAAGAACACCACCAAATGGAGGCGCAACCAAACAACCAAATGATATGAAGGCTTGGGCTATTCCTAGAGCCTTTGTTCGTTCAGCGTCGTCTCTAAATCTATCGGCAATCATAGCAAGACCTGAAGTGTCGGCAAACGCAGAGCCAACGCCTTGTAAACTTCTTGCTACGAACAGAACAGCGTAACTTTCGCCAAAAGCAAACGCAATCGTCGAGAAAAACATAATAGATAATCCAATCATTAGTGGTCGATCATATCCTATTCTATCGATTAAAGCCCCAGTAAATGGATTAATGAAAAGTTGTACGATTGCTTTTGATGCGAAAAGGACACCAATAGCGCCTCCTCCTTCGGCATAAGCTAATGGTTTTTTCGTTGTCGTTGGAAAAGTTGTTGTTATGTTGGTGAAAGAACTGTTACTGAAAAAATCAGTGTTGTTGTACAGCGCAGAATCGTTTCCAGTGCGACTTCTTGTTGGAACCTCCTCATCCTCAAAGTATTTATCCAAATAAAGAGGAACAATCGGTACAATGACCATGAAAAGCATATTATCCAAAAGCAAAGCTATACACACAATAATGAGAACAAGGCGCCTCTGCTGAGTAGGGTCATTAATCCTATCATTCATAATCTGTAGAAAGCGACTAAATTTCTCTCGGACCAAATCCAGTACATATTCCATTTTCAAATTTAGAATTAAAATCCTTGGAAACTGAGTACAGTACCTTGAATATAGTCAACAAAATTTGCGGATTCTCTGTCATCCACTGAATCCTCTCCTTCACAACACTTTAGGACCTTCTCTCTTTGTCCAGCGAGTCCTTAAATAGTAGAAAGAAAGTGGGTCCTGTTTATATTTAGTACAGTCATAATGCGACATAACGCAATCAATTCAACTACTTTAAGAAACTAATAATTTCCTACTGGAATTAAATGATATGTATTATTATTTCACAATGGTGTTGTGATTTTGAAAATGTGTTGTTTCAAGTAACTTTCATATACAAATTTGAGGAGATTTAAGAAAGCTTTCAACTGAAAACTGAAACTTTTACATAATTACTGAAGCTAATGAGCACTTGAATATAGCGGAAAATCTTTGTCTACTGAGAATTAGTCTTATTTTCTCCTTCGTGTCACTCTTTAACTTCCGCTCTTTTCGATTCACAAATTCATTGCTTTTTTTATTAAAAAGACTTCTCATTTTCCGGTGTGATGACCAGTCGGCGTCCACTCATTTAACGGCTGTTCATTACACGTTGGTTTTCATAGTTAATAGAATCCTCCCTCGAGGCAACCTTCCTCGTTGTCAATTTATTAACTACATTTATACCACAAATCCAAACTCTGGAAACCAATTTGTAGATTGAAATAGTTAAGCAACACAAAAATTAAATTACGTATGCAGTGATTGAAGGGACCCAAATCATCTTGGCTCTGAGAAATTGGACATACACAGAAAATCTGATAGATTTGGTAATGATCAGGGCACAAACTCGTCTTAAGGAAGCTAATAGGAAAGGGATCCGGATCCTTGAAGACTACGTTGCAAAATACCATGGTACAAAATTCTGCGAGGCAAAGAATTTCTAGTAAGGAAAATTTTATTACAACGATTCTAAAAGCAAATTTAGTAACAATTACATCAGCTTTCACTGACGAGATGTTTTTGGTTTTTTTTTTTTGTTCGATGTAGGTTTTACAATTATATTTTAATCGTTATAACTATACAAATGTAGACTACAAATTGTGTGCTTATTATATTCCTACAAGCTTTAACTGTAAAGACTTTTTTTATACCAAATAAAAAAAATGTGATAATTTGTTTAAAATTCCTCTCAAATATCTTCTGCCTGCAATAAACTGCATTAAATTAAGGGGAATTAATTTTAAAAACCTGATTGGTAGAATGAAACATTCCTTATAAACTGTTTCAAGGTTGTTTAAAAGTTGCTTGCGAATTGGTCCACAAAATGTAGTCGAAATATGACACCCTTTCATTTTATTTTGAACATTTTTTTTAATACTATAGACTTTTTGAATATAAGATTTTTCTCAGTACTTTATAAAAAGAGATATGTGATAGAATATATATTGTTGAGAAAATGCCATATGTTATCAGAGAAGTGGTTAATGGAGAAACCAAAGAAATTTCGACGTAAATGAATCATTGCAGGTGAACATAGAGTTAAATCGATCCCTAGGCATGAATAATGGTTAATCGGCAAAGACCCACTGTTTATTATGTCAATAAAGCATTACAATTTAACGTTAATAAATATTTCAAAAGTTTTTGGTCTTCTTAAGTGTTGGGTCATAGTTTATAATCGATTGAATTGTTTTTGTCTAGATTTAGTTCTTAAAATGTCTTATAATTAAACTTAGTCAACAAACGAATTTAAGACTTCCTTCGCACGATTTCTTGCGTGCGTTGCATAATATCTAAAGCATTTCCAGGGTCTCCTTAACTAGAATAACAGGGTAATTATTTTACCTAGTTGCAAAATAATTTTTTCACTGCAGACAGAATTATTCCAGAAAATACCTTATAGTTTGAACAGATATTTTATTATTGGCTTATGGCATAAAGAAATTATTGGCTTATGACCTGAAGAAGTACCTCAAAATTCCGTTTAGGAACAGAAGTAGATATGCACATCCTTATTTGTTTACTTTAAATAGTATCAATTTAATTAGCATTTTCTTCTTACATGTTAAGCAACTTTATACATTGATATTCGTTGTTGTACTCTGTCATACACATTGTACTGTGGATACTCATTATTTGACATTTTCTTTTTACTTGTATTTATTTTCATATCTGCTGTACTATATTATTACTTTTCATACTACGGGTTTTCTGTTTCCATTTACATTAAGGATAAGAGAAGCAGATGTGCACATTTATTGTATTCGTCAGTTTGTTTTGTTTTGTTTTGTTTTTGTTTTGTTTTGTTTTTTGTTGTTTTTTTTTTTTTTGTAAAAAATAGCTTTTCACTCAATATGTCAACAGGCCATAAAGGAATATAGATCTTTAAAACACAAGCTTACGATTTTAAAAAATATATTTTTCAGAATACACAATCTTTAAAAGCTATTTGGCAAACGTTTAAGGCGACACTTTTACTTACTACGCATGTGTAGAAAAATTACCATGGTCATTAATTGACATTTTTAATTAGCAAATTTAATACTTTATAAAAATTGAACTTTCAGTTCGTTGCCATGATGTGTGCACATTGTATGATCCATTATTCAACTGATATAATGTTTTCAATATCTATTGCTTTACCACTATTTTCATGCCCCAGTTCGTTTTTTTAACATTGGGTTCGATGCCGTCTGACATTCTAGAGTAAGATCGGTTTTAAACGGAAAATTTGTTGTTGGTGTTTTTTTAATCAGTAATCACAACCAATCATTTCTTTTATTTTACTTAAATCAAGATTTTGATGAATAATTCATTAATGGCGTTTCATGAAATTATTAAATGCTTGCTTGTTTAAAAATGTCTATAATTTAGATCTACATGTACAAACCGGAAACACCATCGAACTCTCATGTTTGTTTGTTTTTTTGTTTTTTTTTTTGTTATTTGGAGGCTCTTAACCGAAAATGAGACATTTAATTCAAATTACGATTTACCACACAAACACCCTCTATCTCATCCCCCCCCCCCCCACACACAGCATATTTACCACACAAACACCCTCTATCTCACCCCCCCCCCCACCCCCACAGCATTTTTACCACACAAACACCCTCTATCTCCCCCCCCAACACACATACAGCATATTTACCCCACAAACACCCTCTATCTCTCCCCCCCACACACACACACTATATTTACCACACAAACACCCTTTTTATGTCTCAACTCCCCCTCCCAACAAAACATATTTACCACACAAACACCCTCTATCTCTCACCCCCCTCCCCAACACACACACAGCATATTTACTACAGAAACACCCGCTATCTCTCAACCCCCCCCCCCCAATACACACACAGCACATTTATCTCTATCTCTCCATCTATCTCTCACCACCCACCCACCCCCAGCATATTTACCAAACAAATCTCCTCTAGCTCTCACCCCCCCCCCTCCCCAGCATATTTACAACACAAACACTCTCTATCTCTCCCCCCCCCCCCACACACACAGAGCATATTTACCACACAAACACCCTCTATCTCTCACACACATCCTCTCACTCAGATACATCATACACACGTAAACCTTCAGGGACGCGTAAAGAATCATTTACAGCACTTACATACAATTAATGTTAGGAAAAAGAACAAGTGATATTTTTGTCATGCAAAATAGAAATGAACACCGACAAAGTCAAAAGCTAATGTCTAACCGGGAAAAGAAATATTCTTCTCTCAGAGAATAACTACCGGAATTTGACATCGAAATTACACCATATGTTCTTTTTTACGAGTTTGGCTCAGATATAAACGTCATGCAATTGCTAATCAATTTCCATCTTGTAGCAACCGTCAGTTTGAAAAAAAAAACATACACACACACAAAACCAAATGTCGCTACAGGAAAATATTCTAGGTTTCTCGACTTAGTTTAGTTTTTAGAATGGTGTGACTAATCGTATAATTGTACATAAAATTTATAATGATTTTCCTTCTATTTTTGTTTTTTATTTGTATATTTATTCATAATTTAAAATAAAAGCAAACTTTTTTTTACTTCAAAAATTTCATATAATAACGGGAAAATAATAAATGAAACCATTACTTATTTGTTTACTGATATAATTAATTGGTTTAAAGGGGCTGGGGGGTTGTGGCCATTTTCAAGCTATTTTGACTTCCTTTAGAAGAGGAGCTCCAAATAAAGATATAGGAAAATGTTAAAATTTTAAAACTAAAATGTTTGAAATTTTTCTTTGCCAAATGATAGTTGACACCTTAAGATATCATATCTAAAAAATTAAATTAAATCTCCTCGATTATTGTTTTGGTTCCTTTTTCATTTTGGTTTTCATTGCCCCCGTTCTTCCGACGTCTTCTGCCTGATTTCTACTCATAAGTTCTTCTTGATGATTTTGTCTTACATAAATTGTTTCTAAAATCAAATTAATTTTTAAAAGTTCAAAAAGACAATTTTACGCAGAAGCTTCTCAGTTAAATTAAACCTGACCATCTAAGGACATGTATAACGTTTTACTGCTGTTTCACTCAAAGTTTTCGTATTTAGTTGATGATAATAACCAAAGGTCACTTTTCGAAACTTTAAAAAATGACGACCGTTGCCATGATAGCTAAGGAAATATGAATACCGAAAATTTTGAATGTCAATTTCCTTAAACCATTCAAAAAAACAAAAACAAAAATCCAATGAATTTTCTTGCATCAAGACAAACTGATTTCATCGTCCCAGTGGTGCAGTGGTTAGAGCGTCTGCTCTGAAGTAGCGAAGTAATGAGTTGATCATTACGTCGCAGGTTCGTATCCCACTGTAGGATGTAGAGACCGGTCCTTCGGAACCGAGGTTCCGTGTCGCAGTAGGTGATGGCATGTGCACGAAAAGATCCTTCTCTGTTCAATGGCCGTGTATATACATGTAGGACATAATTTGCAGCTCTCCATCGGCAAGTTGTGGTGTCGCATATGAGTGAAAAATTCTCGAGATGGACGTTAAACAACATACAAACAAAAACGATTTCTGCGAGTTCAAACTACAAAAACCCATTGAAAATACTTTGTTAGTGCTGCCGTGGTAATAAGATTCCTTTTATTTTTAAAAATGTTTGACTGGGTTTTCTTACCCGTAAAGAATTTCAAACTGCAAGTATCTGGTACCGGTGTTAAAAAATTTCAAAATGACGGTCAGCATTCCCGTGCATAAGAAAGAAAAATAGGATTTTTTGTACAAATATGATTTTTTTTTTCAAACTTGTATCGGATGCATATGCTAGCATGCTGTTTCTAGAACAGCAAATTTCCTGATCATCGTTATTCTATCAAATTATTTAAAGTATTATAAGATTCCAATTAAACCTCCTTTACTTTGTAAATATAGGTATACTGTTTCAGACATTAAATCTACAGAATATGTGTTTATCAATTATATTTAATGCTATTGAAAAATAAAATCGGCAACGTAGCAAATACCTGTGCACAGATTTACATGATGAACACTTTTTATATTTACTTACTGTTAAGGAGATTGGAAAGTCGGTTATTTGGAGAGAAAAACGTATTAATTCAGGTTTTTTCACTTATAAAACTTATTACTATAGAGTATATTACTCTTTAATGTTAGCATTATAGAGGACTGTTTCCTGTCCGTTAGTCTTTCTAACTCGTGTGCATGATATTCATCTTGATAGCATTCTTTTGTAATGGAAGAAATAATTTTGCCGTGCGATGCTCTGAAACATGAAATGTAGCTATAGAACTATTTGAAATTATACCTTAATGTAGCAATTTCCCTTGAAGAGGATCAATTTTAAGACAAACGTAGCCAATTAGTGGACAGGGAGCCACCAGAGAATCTTTGTACGGAGACTGCTTACTCGTTATAATGTTTGACTTCTGAATAACCATTAAATATGTAGTTCGAAAGAAAACGGACGGCAGATTGTGATTTTCTTTTCTTTCTTTTATTCAAAATGGAGTTCTTGATTTATCCCAACCACTGAATATGGTTAAAATTCTATACATATTGTTAATGATACAACTGTAAGACGCCTTCGTTGGCTTCTGCCAAGGAAAATATCTAAAGTCAATACTTTGAGATGCTGAGATTCCAATTGTGAACATTGTTTGAGTGTTAATTTCCTCCATGTCAATTTCATTTTTCATGTCAAGAGGAACTCCCTCTTCTTATGGCTTGAAAAGCTGTTATAATGTGGTATAAAGCAACAACATACAGATCATTAGGACTTCGTAAATAGACACTCGTATAAGAAGGGATTCGTTTTATCTTCGATATTCGTTTTATTTTCGTTTATTAATATCGGACATCGCTCTTTAATATTAGAGGCAATAGAACTTTTGACGCGAGAAATGTTTGATTTTATACTGAGAGTTTATATACAGGAAAAGAATTAGTATTTTTCTTATTCTGATCAGTAAGAAAAATACAGAACACTTTGCATGTAAGTTTAATAATTACTTACATCACAAAAGGTCAATTCTCTAAGAAACGTCAATGTAATTTCCTTTTACATTCATTTCTGTGTAATGTATTATAAGATATCCTAATTAACAAAATTACATAATTCTTGTAGTATCACACAATGATAAGATTCTCGCATTATAGCAAAGACAATTTCCTTTACACATGGCAGGTGAATCTGTAGCGATTGCCCACACATTTTGTCATTCTCTTATTTAGAGCTATAGCAAAAGTAATTTTTCTTTACCGCTCAATGATATATATTTATGCACTTAATATAAATTTTGCCTCTAGAATTCAAACTAGAGGTACTGTGAGCGATGAGCTCACTAAATGATACCCCCCGCCTCCCGTATGGTTTTAACTGGTGAAAAAGTCCATGTTTTCCTGTGGCCGGGAAACCCAAAATACGTGTCGGATTAAAAAGTAAAATAGGAGGTGCACAATGGCAATATGTAATAAAGATTCTGTGAAAGTTTCATCAAATTTCATTCAGTGGTATGAGAGGAGTTGTGGATAAGAGATAAGTACCCCAAAGCGTAACAGACGGACGGACGGACGGAAATACCGATTACTATATACCCTCCCGCTTTTCAAGCGGGGGGTATAATAAAATTGCTTTGAGAAATTCATAACTCACTTTGTTTACCACCCTCCCTTTTTAAAATCTGTATTTAATTACCTTGTTATTAATATACAAGAATATATACATATTTCTGCATCCTTTACGGGTGCAATTTGATGTGGAAAATGCATGCTTTAACCAGCTTGGTAGTATTTTTTTTTTTTTAAAGAAAATGGATAATGTAACAAATCAATGTATTTTTTAAAATAAAGTTTTGTCCATCTTTAACCACATTTAATTGTGAAACAAGATGTTTTATGCCTATATTGTTTAAGAAAGAACATAAACATCTTTTAATTTTTCATAAATTAAATAAATCTTTAATCTGGGCTACTTTGATGAGAACATACCATTATCACTTAGCAATATAATTCGAAATATGGATTTGTGTGACGCCTTCTGTGCTTTGATTTTTTTTAACTCTGTTTGCTACACATCAAACAAATACATTTTTCTGTCCATAACACGATAAGAAATACTCATTAACAAGGGCATAGAGCAGAAAAATGAAAGTCTTGTAAAGCTCAGCAGATAAGCCAAATGTGTCTTTCGATCGTCCGCTATGGACCGTATTATCTTCTGGAAAAGAATTCCAACCCTCAATTTTATTCTCATATCTCCTGTTTTTCACATTTTATTGCAATAACACACGATTTTCAGTTTTCCTTGCGTCAAGTCAATCTCTACGACTGGACTGGAAACATTTAGAAATTTACAGGAAATTCTCAATTTTACGATTTTACAAGCAAAACCTAATTAATGACATGTATTTAGACGTCTATAGTTCCTATTATTGATTAAAGACTACTATTGTTACTGGAAAATAAAAGTTCACTAATAAGTCTGAAAGTTATCTAATAGCCCGCACAATACTCTTCTTATTATCATCATTCAAATGTATGTCTGGCTAATCGCTCGGGGTACGCTTAACGGATATAGCTCCGTTTGTCCCAGTACGCTTTATGTTGCGTTTTCTAGTTATATCTTATAATTATTTGTTTAGAATCTGACCACTGGGAGTAATTACACGCTATTTTCATACTCATGACTCTTGTTTGAATAATCTGATTTATTTCTTATTGATAAATTGTTATTTAATGGTTTTCTTAGAGCTGCTTTTGAGATCATTCCTGAGTACCATCACAGAATACAGAAATGTAACATATTTATTTAATAGAAAATCACCTATCTTTTCAATATACATTTAAGTTGCTCTTTGCGAACATTCAGATTTCTTTTCCGAATACGTTTGATGAAACACGCAATCACACAAATCCAAAAATAAGCTAATAAATAAAGAAATCAAAATTTTCTGCGACAATTCGCTTCAAATTCAGTTTCAACAATCATGTAAAATACCAACATTCCATACGAACATAATTATACATACAGTAAGTATACATAAGCAGTGAACTTACATGTATCTAATAATGTGAAATTGTTTATAATGCAATCAGAACATGTTACAGAGATAAATGAATTTATATTTTATCAGTATTAAACTTTTATTTCAAATATCTTTTTCGTGGATTTTGAATATGCAATATGGTTTGAAAAATGAAAATATCAGAAACTGTACATTATTTTATGAAGATTTATAGAAATGTAAAATTGTTGATTTCTTTTTTTATAGGACATTAAATTGTACCTAGCAATTACTCATTTGTATACAAAGTTTCCAATACACACACTTACCTGTATGATAAGACTGCTTTAACAGAGTATCCCTAGCTTTCTCCCCAAATCTGCTCTCAATAAACTTTTATGGAGAAAATATTCAAATATATTGGTTCATCTGATTTGAATAATCATTAATTGGGGTCACGTGACGCACATAGATCTGTAACTTGGTATTCTGAATCAATAGCCGCGGTTTAACAGCCTCAGATCAATGTATCAACTTATAGCTCGAACAACTTTCAATATTTGATTCTTTGGTGGTTATGGAGGCAAAACTCCATTTTATCCAAGAAAGTTATGCAAACCTTAGCCACATGACAGAGAGGCATATCAGCTATTAATCTTGAAGAAATCAGCGGCGAAGATTTATTTTTGTCTTCCGTGGTAGACATATTCGATACTGTTAATTTGATAAAATCTTCGAAGAATTACACAAGTTCATCATTCTTACATTTGTTATTTTGTTTCACTTACGATACCGATTTTCCTTAAATAGTTCTGTTAAAAAAGTTCTTTAAAAATTGACTGTCACTTAAAGAGAAGAAGCTTCACAATCTAAACTAAATAAGAAGTAAAAATGCAAGGAGCAGACTAATTTAGAATTGAGCATGCTCCAGTTTGCACCCTTTTGCGTGCAGAATCCCCATTAGAAAGAGATCTCCTTATGTCTTGACAATTTATGTGAAGCCATTGTAATTGGGGGACCAAAATAAAGATTATAAAGCAACACTAAGCGGAATTCTAGCATTCGGATTTTTGAATTATTAATGCAAATAAAGTTTCAGATAATTCTTACACACATTGAAATGTCTTTAATCTACCTCAAAGGAATCTTTATGATGTTGGAATCAAACAAGAATGAGGACATGTTTATCAAGCACACAGTATTATTATTATTTCTACATTGTTATGTCACGTTTCTCCTGGTCTTAACTTTAGATCCTCGTCCTCTTCTGTTTCATTTTGTAGCAGTTTTTCCATATTCTCTCTTTCATACAAGACCATTTTCAGGCCATGCAAGTAATCTTAGAGGAATCTTGTAATATGTTATGCGGAAATTAATATTGAAATGGATATTGCTGGTGAAAGCAATTGATTTTAAAATTAACACGGTTATCTATTTTTCAAATCTCGGACTTGTAGAAATGCATGTTGTAAACAGTGCTAAGGTAAGTAAGAAGGTAAAATAAAAGCAATCCTAGCCAGAATTTAAGTTCAAAGAAGTCACTAACTTAATTTTAATTTCATTATCTTTATAAAAATGGTCCTCAAAAAGAAAAAAAATGTTTATTAAGAATAAACTTTAATGAATGAGTCACTAAAATGTTCCAGTATGTTTGATATTTGCTTTTGCAAGGTTCAAATGAATTTACTTCTAAGACTAACTTAATACCCTTTATATTGCCTTAATTGTTACCATTTTTGTACATATGTTAAAATTCGTTCAATTTAAATCTGCATATGAGAATTTTCATTTATATTAAATTTAACTGAACTCAAAATTATAAAGAAACATTAGGTACATAACCATTAGCTTCACTAATTGCAAGAAATTCAAGCATTCCTTCGATCCACCCAACCCTTTACAAAAATTATTGAAAAAGACAAAATTTACATTTTTTTGGGGATAATGCATTTGACCAACAACAGATAGCTATGCTTTGAAGCACTGGACTGGGTTTGTACATGAGGATTGCATATCAATTTTAGTATTCTATAATAATGCCCGAAATTTCTGCAGATAAACCAGTGTATTACTGTTTCCTTGTAGTTGGAATGTATACATTTTAAAAAATAAGAAAGAAAATCTTGCTCAATATACATGTAAAAGAGAACGTATCTCTATACCCTTTAAAATGTAGACAAGAACAACGATAATGCTACTTGGATACATCTTTCGGTCTATCAAAGAAGCTTACAAATAGTCTTCTTTGACGCTAGAACAAGGAACGAAATTTTTTTTACAGTGAAAATGTATTAAAGGTAAACGATGATTCAGATGGAAATCTCTGAAATTAATAAATATCCTACAGAAAATATGAAAAGATGACAATATTTAGAATAATTGGGAAACAATTCCACCAAATTTCTGCTCCGTTGATAGCTTTTATTGATCTCCCCAAGACACAAGATCGTTATTTCTTTCCCTTTTCTTTCAAATCAAACAACAAACTTTATGGTTCTCTGTCGATTTAATTGCTGTTATCAACAATCCTAAATGAGACGCTTCGCACAACTAAAATGTGCAGCATTCAATCACACACTTTCTTCCTCCATTACCGAGAAGTCGTCATTGATTGCACAGTTATTTATTTTCACAAACACAAATATTTCAAAGTAAGTTAGAAATAATCTGTCCCAAAGACAGCATTTTCTTAGGGTTGGGATGGGGTTGTAAGCCATGCTTTTAAATTAGATTTATTTCAAAGTCGGTAGGGGGGGGGGGTTTCGAAGAAAAGTGGATATCAATTCAGGTCCAATCTGGGTAAAGTTTACCAACCATCATGGCTTTATGCAAGCCGTGAGACACAACCTAAAAGTTGAAATTCTTGACCTTGAAAAAAAAAAAATCGAATCATAAACCCAGTTCGTTCTTTGGATACTTCAAGACAAATTGATTAATAATCTACGGTAACAACTAGAACTGTTCAAAATGGACAAATACCCCAATAGGTTTTTCAGAGAAGGTGCTAAGTCACTAATACTAGTATTGGTGTTCACAATTTGTTAAAACTTTAGTTTAAACCAGGGGGACTGTAGGTTTTCCCCTCGTCTTTCAGTTTGTCTATCTGTTATGTATACAAACAGATAACTGTAGGTGGTTACTTTCTGTTATTGAGGGGTTAACCACACAATACAAAAATAACCCCAGAAAACTGAAAAATACGCACAGCAAGAAGTCACTGTGTATCTCTGGTTGTACCATAGTTAGGTGTGATTTCTTTTGTTAAAAGTGTGGGTTTTCTGTACATAACCCACACTTTTCTAAAGCTCCGCCCATCGCGCCAGGACAAAAGAACTATACAATCATGCACAATTTTTAAATGAAACAATTACCTGGGCTTGTTATGCCAAATTCAGGAGAGTAAAAAATATCAATTGTGGAGAGCATTGTGTAATAATTAACAATTAAAAACGGGCATCAATACTTAAACTTTAGTTTAAAAAAAACTTCAGAAATCGCTTGATTTTTAAAAAAAAAATTGTGTCATGACCAAGGTGACGTTAGCTTAGTAGATTCCAATATCGTTCTTTTGATAACCAACAAAGGAAACACGGTACAAACATGAAGTAAAAACAAAAGTGTACACTACTGTACTTAAATAAAGTTTTCGATTGCGGATCTAGCCGATCAAAGATCTATTTTTCATCAAATTTTATATACATAACCTCTAAACGAACATTTCAATCAACGTCCCACTGTGCACGACAAAGTATGTATCGGGTTTAAAAAAAATTAAGTTAAACAAAGTTCATAATAAATTTAAATTATTCAATTTTGACGATTAAAATTTATGAGAAAAAAAATCAAATCAACATATCTCATTGAAACCAAACTCTTCAATTTTTCAATTACATAAATCAGACAAACTTTTTAAAGTCGCTTGGTCCGATTCTAATCGCTAAAAATATATATTCAATTTTCTTCTTGAAAAATAATTGTCCATAAATTGTTTCAACTTTTGGCAAATTATATCCCCAAAGTCCTTTTCTTTTAAAAGATATCAAAATTCAAAAGTTAAAAAAATAATTTTTGTTAGGTCACACAAAAAATAATCCTATGTCGATCATTGTTGATATTGCGTGAAATCACCTTCGAAAAATTAAATTTATCGCTTACATGTTTATCTCATGAAGAACGAACCCGAGCATTTTTTCACAACTAAGTTCATATATATATAACCTGTCACGGACAATATTTTAGCTCCTTTCAAAAAAATCATTTAAAATATCTGATCTTCCTTTATTCTTTAAATATGCATATTAATATAAAAATTACTATGGATTATATTCAATTAATTTCTTAATTTTGAAAAGATGTATTATGACTAAGGCTTCTTATAATAGAGAAAAAAAATACTCGGATTTGAATTATCTTCATTATTAGATATATCCGATAAACTTATATTTTTCAAAATTGACTTCACAACAGATCTTAACTTCCGTCTGGAAGTACTGTTTGTCAATAAGGTTTTTGATCTGCGTTTTCCATGTAAGGATTGTTGTAATAAACTATTAAATCAATCTTATCATTTCTTTTTATACATTATCTATGTAATGAAGTACTTTTATTGTGTAAGATAATATGTGTCTGTTTCGGGTTAAGCGGCTTTAAACGGACTTAAGATATGTTTAACTTTTATGTCGCCCGCATGGTGCAGTGGTTAGAGCGCCTGCCCTAGAGTCACGAAGTAAGGAGTCGAATCCCACTGTGGGATGTGGAGACCATATAAACAGAGGTCCCGTGTCGCAGAAGGTGTTGACGCGAAGAAGATCCCTTACTGCTCAATGACCCTGAGTGCCGAGTAAAGGACAAAATTTGTAGCTCTCCACCGGCATGAAGTGGCGTCTCCAAATGAGTGAAAAAATTCTTGAGAAGAACGTTAAACAACGTACAATCAATTTTTGAAAAGTATTGTATACAAATCACTTACCCTGTACTCGATGGAGGTGGTCAGAAGGACACGAAGGAGCGTAAAAGCTTATAAAATCCACATGTATAATTGATACCAAACATTAATGTTTCAATCACACGAACCAGTCAGACCAATTCCTAAGCTGACTTACAAAGGAATGATTTTTGAAAACTATGGTACAAGTCATTTACCCCATATCATACTGTTGATTATGTGCAGATACCCGATGGGCGTGGTCATAATGACAACTCGGGAGCTACGCTCCCTCGTGTCATTATGACCACGCCCATCTGGTATCTGCACATAACCAACATTATGATATGGGGTAACTACTACATAATTTGAATATATATCATTTCATGCGGTGAAAATCACCTTGTTAATCTTTTCTTTTGGGGGTTTGATCCCATCTTACTTTCTAGAAATCTTCAACAAACAATTGCTTGTTGTCAGTCTTATGAAAAATTATCAGTAGCTTAGACCAGCAACCGTAATCACCACCGTACTCTCCAGGCGCGTAGCATCGTTTTTGAAAGTGGAGGGGCCAGCTAGAGAATTTTTTTTTACTTACCTGAAA